GAGGGGTCCGTGCGTCCCCCAAATTGACTCACAACGAATTCTTCTACCTAAAATGTGAAGTCACGAAGGACATATTGGGACAAAGGTAATTAAAAACTCTAGAAATTTACCTTACGAAACTTTGACGAAACCTCAAATCAAATCAAATCAAAAAAAGCTTTATTGTCATCAATTCAAAAAGATCCATTGACAAAGCGACTTATCCTAAACTAAACTACTATTCAGAGGACACACTCCGCATTCACCCTTAACAATATATATATGTGTATTTTTTTTTTTTTTTAAACAATAGGAACAAAAAAAGCAAATCTTCAATTATTACAATTATGCTTATGAAACACGTTAAAATATCAATACAAGTGACACTAATTAAATATCAGAATGCCACGGACAGACACAACTAAAATAACAAAAATAATAAAATATCACAAGAATATGAACCAATATAAATATAAATATAAAACAAATCATAAAATTAACAAATATAATCACAAACTAACAAAATTTAGGACTAATTAGGATGAATCGTAAAATTCCTGGAGACTATAAAACACCTTTCGAATCAAATATATTTTAAGTTGTTCTCGAAATATTTTAAGCTCATGAATACTCTTTATTTTATGAGGTAACTTATTAAAAATCTTTATACTCTCGTATATAACAGAATTTTTTGTTAGTGAAGACTTTGGTATGGGCAGAGGCAAATTACTCTGCCTAAGATTATAATGTGTTTCTCTAGAATTACCCTTAAATTTCTTAAAAATTAATGAAGACGTCTCCAAAATAAAAATACCCGGAACAGTTAGAACAGCCTCCTGCTCAAACAGTGCCCTGCAGCTCTGCCTACAGCCAGCCCGACATAAATACCTGAGGGCTCTCTTTTGTAATTTGAAAACCGAATGCTTTGCCCAGAAAAACCCCAGAATGGTATGCCATATCTCAAATTTGATTCGATTAGTGCATAGTATGCAGATTTCGCTGCACGCTTCCCTAGCTCTTGCATAATGGATTTCACTATGTAACACCCTTGAGCTAATTTTTTGTTCAGCTGATCGATATGCACATCGAACTTGAGTTTTGAGTCAATATGCATACCAAGAAATTTGACTGCACCTCTGCTCTCCAATGTGGATTTATGAAGCATTATATTTTCAAGGGAACATTTAAAGGTGAGAATATTGGTCTTCGAAACATTAAATACAAGTCGATTTGAATCGCACCATTCCTTAAGCCTTGAAAGGTCATTTTCGATTATCTGACTAAGAAGGATTTCATTTTTATGTTTCCACAATACGGTCGTGTCATCTGCAAAAATGGTGAATGATCCAGATATTCTCAAAGTAGCCAAGTCATTAATATACAGGAGGAAGAGTACTGGACCAAGTACAGAACCCTGCGGAACTCCGTGAGTTAACTTTTGCAACCCCGAGTCTTCACAATTGACAATCCTTACAAGCTGACTGCGCTCCGCAAGGTACGACCTAAACCATCTCAACCCCCCATCCCTTATCCCATAGTGACTCAGTTTCTGCAGCAGTATTTCGTGATCTACACAATCGAAAGCTTTAGAGAAATCACAAAACCTATGTTTAAGCATATACC